TCTTTCTTCCCCACTTGGAACTGAACCCAGAAGGATATTTCTTCCAACAATCCTTTATTTAAAATATTTGAGTTTCACTCTCACACCTGGCTCTTCTTTAATCTCCTAAAAGCCTCTTGGGTCCATCTCAGTCTGGATTTTGGCCAGTCCAGTCCACTGAGAAGGGACTTTCTCAATGCTTTCCTTGTGCTGGCACTTCTCCATTGGATAATCCAGATTACTGTCCTTGGCATAACAACAACAAGAAAAAAACCCAAAACAAAACAGTATCATTGGCTGGGCCCTTATTTGGATAAAATCTTTTTCGTCTTCTTGTTCTTTTTCCACCAATAAATTTCCCCTTACAGCAGGCATCCCTCAGGCATCAATCCCAGATCCTCCTTTCTTTCCGTCAGGTGCCTTCCTTATGGATAGGGGATCAATACCATTGTTATGCTGATCATACTAATCCCATAACAGGTGTTCAACTGTAATCCAGTGCCTTATTGGCGTTCCTGGATGTCTTCCCACTGCCTTAGGCTGAACATGGGAGAAGCCCAGGGAGATCCTGCTCCAACCGGATCTAATTTCCCATGTCTCCTTTCACCTCTAGAGTTGCTTACGGCCTTGGGAATTCAGCTGACAATCAGATGACTCTGCACCCATTTGTTGTTCTTATCACACTGTGTGTAATTTGATTTGGTTTAAGGTAGAGCTGTTATCCCACCTACTCTCATTAGTCTTGTAGTTCCTAGGTTACTATCTGTTTTAACATGCTCAGTTGTACTACAAGGTCTTGTTTATATCGATATGCAGCATCTAGATCAGGGGTGGGCAAACTTTTTGGCTCGGGGGCCTCATTGACTTTTAAAATTTGACAGACGGGCCGCTACCTGGTGTCGAAATGCCTGTCCTTACAAGTCAAAATCAAATGAATGCAATCATTCAATCATTCACATCAAACCTTAATTCTGTACCAATCTTCAGCGGGCCGGATTAAAAAGACCAACGGGCCGGATGTGGCCCTCGGGCCGTAGTTTGCCCACCCCTGATCTAGATACTTGAAGAATGTACTGGGAAGACTGTACATAAATGTACTACATTTATGGCCTAGTCTTTCACATGTAAAATGCCTTATCTTTTAAATGCCCTGTTAAAATGCAGACTTGCAACCTGAAGTCCAACCAATGTTATTTTATCTTCCCGTGAGCCTCTACTGCGGTAAATCCAATCCAAACCAAATTCACTTAAATCTGTTGCTGCACAGATCAGGCATACATGATCAGTTGGAAGTGACCTACAAGATCATCAGATTCAATTCCCTGCAGGAATCACTATCCCATCCCTGATAGGAGACTATCCAGTCTCTTGGCAGACCTTACTGTCCAGAAGTTATTTCTAATCTGAATCTAAATCCTTTTTAAGTCTCGTCCCTATTGTCAGCTACACTAAACAGACAGATATCAACTCTACAGAAAGGCCAAAAGTATTTGACTGAGATGGCCCACAGTAATAGAATCTGGTGACTCTGATTGGGTTGCACTTTCTCCTTCAGTTAATTAGGGCGGGGTCTGCATGAGTCACATCCAAAGTTATCTCATTGTTCTGGACTTTAAAATGCTTGGCCCTCTTTTGCCAAGGTAATGGAGTTTTTGCATATCTGTCCAAGTCACCATGTTTGTTCTCGATCATCTAACTCATGTTAGAATGCTGATACTCTTAGCAACGGATAACTTAAGTGGACAAAAGTGATTTATATTGGCTTTTTAAACTGTCACTGCTGAAGTTTATATCAGCAATACCTGGGGGGGGGGTCAACAGAGGTTTTCGGATGACTCTCCTAGGCAGGAGGCGGAACAGGTTACTACTGGTCTTAATCACATTCTTGCCACACCAACATTGCCTGCTAAGAGTCCTGTCTTTTTTCCAACATGCAGCCAAGTCCTTCCCCAAGCAACCTTCCTGGACGGCTGGCAAACCGGAAGGCAAACTGACAGGCCCAGGATGTTAGAAACAGATTTTATTTGCACGCGTTGCTTCTTAAAGCAGCATTAAGTAGTGCAAACCCATTAAACAAAACCATAGCTGCCCACTATTAGGACCTGGGATTCTGCTAAAAGCAGCAGCCTTATGGGAAGAACGTCTAACCAGCTCCCTGCAGCCCCGCCTCCACTATGTGACCCACCTGCCCAGTGGGATCCTGTAGGGCAGGAGGGGGCCGGACCTGAGGAAGGTGGCTTGAGGAGGAGTGCTGGGGAAGACCCCAATTCCGGAGGGCTCCCAGCCCCTTGCACCCCTGGCTTAACAGGGAGTTGCAACTGAGAATTCTGGCCAGCCATTCAGGTGAGTTGGACACTCATCTCTTTCCTCTCCCCACACCACCACTTGAGTTGTCCTGCTTTGGGGGGTGGGGGTGGCCCCACAACCATCTCAATAGCCGCAACTGCTCACCAAAACAAACTTTCCCACGCCGAGACTCCCATTAGGACCAACTGACGCAACTGAGCCAAAGCAGCCACCCAGCCCCCTCTCGCGTCAGCGAGACCCCCTTGCAAAGAGCCCGTGTTGGGCCCCAACAGAGGGGCCAGCTGTAGATCTTGCGAAGTCAGATGGGGCTGCCAGGAGATCCTTTCACAGAGCAGAGAAGCCGCCCAGGTGTTGATAGGAAATGGATCACTCGTGGAATCCCAAAGCATCTGGGGAAAGGCCAGAAAGCAGGCACGGATTATTAAAGGGACTTTTCCCACCTGGTGAAGGGCAGGGAGCTTAACTCACTGGATGCAACTAACAAATGCACCCAGAAGAGCAATGAAAGCGGAGGGATATTGCCTGGCCAGTTGGGGCTAGTTGTGCAGCTTCTGGTGGCCTTCAAGGACAGCTTTATAGAGAGAGAGTTTTGCACCTGGGGCTGACCAAGGCAGGAGTGACTCCCTGATCTAAGATTGGTGGCAAATGGCGCACCAGGCAGAGTTGGTGCAGCTGCTCTCCCTTCGTTTCCAGACAGCAACGTATTGTCACAGAAGCAGTTAAGTTAAGCCAACATCTTTATGGAGGCCGTGAGTGGAGATGAACCACTAGTGTTCATCTAAACATGCCACCACGAGGAAAACTAAATTCAGAATTTGGAAACCGGCCATCTTTTGGTGATATTGTCTGCCTGCATGTCTACATATAAATCCAAAGATTACACAATAACCATCAGTCTCCTGTAACTTCCTCCCAAAGGAAGCTAAATCCAGCCACACCTGGAATTTCACATCCTTTGGAAAAGCAGGCAAAAGATTAAGCAGGTGGACTCTCTGCTGGCTCACCTGGACCAGCTTGGTTGCTTGTGATCAGAGGTAGAAGGACATTGTCCTGCAAATGGAGGAGAAAGGTTTCTATTTTCTGGGTTGAGAAATATATTTTATTAAAAGAGAGTACACATAATCATTACATTATTAATTTACCCAGACATTTCAAATTGAGCCACATGCTAAAGGAAGACACTTTTCTGTTATGTCTCACCTGTGCAAACGAGGTGAGAAGTCCAAATTTCCAAATGAATATAAACAAGCAAACAAGTCTAGTAATGACAGGGTTAAATTCCTTGAGCCGAGAAAGTTCTTGGCAGTCTCACACAAGCTGTCTGCCAAGTCCGACAATAAAGCAAGAACATAAATCACAAGCTATCGCCACACACAGAATCTTCCGGAGCTTCTCTCACAAATTAACACGTTGTCCCGAACAAGTTCTCAGAGCGAACACACCCACTTTTATTCCCTGTGGGGCGTCTCAGTCCCTCATCTCAGTCTCTGATTCGTCCTTTCTTTCTGCGTTGCAATTCGCACTTTTTCCTGCGCCGTTGCCTCGCATCAAGCCAGCATTCCTCGGCTTGATCTTCAGTCAGAGACTCTGATACGCTCTCCTGATTATCTGACGACACCTGAGGCACAATCAGGGAGGAAGGTCTTGCCGAAGAGGAAAGTCCTGGGGAGGAAGGCAATTCCAAATCCTCTAACAAAGCAGGCTCAAACATCAGAGCCAAATCCTCCTCTTCCTCATTGTCCAAGTCCTCGACCTCTGACAAAGCAGGCTCAAACCTCCGAGCCACAACACTTTTCCATGCATGATAAATGCAGCTTTGTTATCATCTACAGCTCTTCTGGCCTGAAAACTTCACAACAGCCCCTTGTTTTTTATTTTCCAACTGTTGTGGCATCTACCACTGTCCCTGTAGGCTCAATCCATCCGTTACTGCCAAGAGCAAAGGCTGGCTTCTCCCAGCAGCTCCAGTTAGGATGATGGAGCTACGCCTGGACTTCCCAGTCAGTACCAGTTGGAGGGAGGGCAGGTGCCTCCAAGGATTTAAGACCAAGTCTAGTGTTTCTCCTCTTGGAGGATCAAAAAAAAGTAGAATATGAAAGAAAGCACGTTTTCTCAGACAAACCCAGACGATGAAAGAATCCATTTCACACCTGTGATCAGATTACCCAGAAAGGGCAATCTTTTAAAGGCTGCCCCTCCAAATTAATAATTTTTTTATACTTTCATCTTGTCCATCCTTTATATTACCATGATATTAAAACTCTTCATGGTCCTTAGGGGACCCAGAAAGAGAATGAGTTGACCAATCGGTTGCTATGGTCTTTCTAAGGGAAGGTAGGCGTAATCCTAGCTCTGCGTTTAAGGCAGGGGTGTCCAACCTTGGCAACTTTAAG